TTCAGAGGCAAAGCCAAGAACCACAACTAGCCAGCCCCTCATGACTGCAGGAACAGATGACCAGTTTATGAGGAACTGAAATACAATGATGTCTGGCTGTTTCAGGTTATAATGCTCTTGTTATGTCATCCACCCATGTCAGCTTGATCTCCTCTGCATAGCAGAAGTTCTCAACTTTCTTAACTCTCAGTAAATCCTGATGCAGAGGAGATCAAAGGACGACTTTATTCTGCCCTGGCCCAACCCTGGAACAAAACTGGAGGGGTGCTCGAGGGCACACGCCTGGTTGCTCGACTAAAGACTAAAGACACACAACACGAAGAGCGGCAGTAAGGCCCGAGTGAACTAAGTCGAGACCAAAAAGAACAATGGAGGGAGCTAAAAATACAGAAAACTACACAAGGAACTAACCGTCAAAATTAAAGCAGGAACCAAAGCAAAAGAGGGAGCAGGAATAAACTCACAGATAGCAATGACACGCAGAGAATGAGAACACGCAGGAGGCACGTGAAATAAGAGAACAAGAATGAAGTGTTACAACCAAAAGACTATGACACTCGCTCTGTGGGTCCCCAACATTACTCGCCCGGGAGAGATTTCATCATTAGATATTTGGATGCTGCTGCTGGGGCTTGATGCTTTGATTTATGGGTATTCAATTAAGCTGAGATATCCTGGCTGTGAAGGCCTTATGGCTTATGGTTGGCATTGTTTTCATGCTCTTTAGTAACGCCTCATGTCTTTTGGCTGTGACACTATGATCATGGGGCAGATCATGTCACAGAGCATGATATTAATGTCACATGCAGGGAAGCATCTGCATGCTACCGCATGTATACCAGTGTTTTCGAAGCTCATAACAGAAGGGGGCATGGTGTAGTTTTGTAACATGCCACTGAGTCATTCCTCTACCCGGAGGGCAGACATTTTCACCTTACTCCAACAGGCAGGCTCACGTTCTGTCTCTCTGTCTCTCTCTCTACGCCTTTTTCTATGTGTATGTGTGTGTCCAGACTAGATACTGTCACAGTCATCCTATCACGCCCGCAACTGTGCATCTTAATGCTCTTCTTCTACTGCAGGCAAGTATGTGACATGCAGAAAATTAAGGTGTAAATACATGACTGTGTGTGTGTGGGGGGGAACCTCCCTACCTTGGGGTTGTTGTATGGGCTTGTTACAGCAACATTCCTCCACTCAGCTGCTTCTGAACAGCACATTCCACAAAGAGAGGGAGGAAGGAAAAAGAAGAGAGTGAGTATAGAATGAGGAAGGACTGGAAATGAAGAGTCAGTGAAAAAAGGAGGGGGGGGGAAGTGTGTATATGTTTGAGAGCTGTAGACGTATCTGTGGAGAAGGAGGGGTAAAGAGAGTGGAGATGCACTGGCAGAGGAAATTGGTAAAGGAAGGGAAAAGGGTCATAAAAATATCATGTGTAACTGATCCTCCCCCCCTCTCTTGTGAAATTTTGACTCCCATCTTCTCTGCATGGAGATCAGAGGTCAGGGTCAGATGCAGTGCAACCAGAGCCAGTGCTGAGAAAAGAGAGAAGGCCACAAGCTCTTTCCTAAAATATTCCTCATCATACAGCCATGAGAGAAGTCATGCACATGCGCGCACACACACAGAGTACAGTAGACCACAGTGCTCTTTGATGTGTGTTTATCTCCTCAGTCTGCTTGACCTGTTTCTAATGAACTATGCTGGGAGGAAACAGAATAATCCAGCTACACAATTACATCCTTCTGCACAGACTCACAAAGAAATCATTATTTATGTACCTTAAAACTGACACAGTATGCTTTTCCTGCTCCCCATCCCACCTGTATTCACACCTTGTGCTTGAGAGGGGCAGCCAATCAGAAGAAACATGGGTTAAAGGAAGTGGTCTTAGAGGGAAACAAGCTGATACATGATAATGAGTAAGAATTTTTTTTTATAAAGAAGGACAAAGCTACCATATGCTACAGTCACATTAGGGAAAGCAGTGGTTGGGTACCAGTTGTGGTAACTTTGTGCAATGAACTTGCAGTCTTATTGTCTTCGAAGTAGTCTTTTCGAAGGCGGGGTCAGGTGCTCTCTTTAAAGAAACCTTGTTGGGTTAAGATGGTGAAAAGCTGGAGTCAGTCTGCAATAATTTATAATTAAATGGGGTCAAGTTGGCAATTACATGCAATCTGTTTGTGATATTACAGCAATTATCTGTGAAAAACTGGGGAAACTGTTGCCATCTACATACACAGAAATTAACATTGACTACTTACATTCAGAGTCCAGAGAGAACCTAACAGATTTGTAAGAGAAATTCTTCCACAACCTCTGATGTAGTCGGTGCAGGGCAGCAATTTTACTCCAAAATGCTTTTATATAGGAATATAACCAGAGTACAACCAGTTAGCAACCCGACCAGCTGAGTCAAAGAGGTGCATCGTAGACAAGTTGCACTGAAAAGTGCAAACTGACTTAGCTTGACTGCAGCGTGTTAGCAATTTGTCTTCATTTATATAGTTAACCCTCACCAGTTTGTATGAGAGTCTTTTTTTTTTTTTTTGGCTGAATATCTTTGGGTTCTACTTTCTTAGGCTCTTTAATCCCCCAAAAATGTTCAGAATTCAGTTATTGGATTAGTAGATAATGCATCTCTTAAATACAGTAACAACTATAGATTCCATTCAGGGCACAGCTAGGGGCAAGAAAGTTTGACTCAGCTCAGAAATAAAATTAAACAACGAGAGAGAAAATGTAGGAAAGAGAGAAGGACATGAAACTGGGACAGCAAAGAAAACAGTGAATATTTACTGGGATAACAAGCAAATAAGTTTAAAGACAAGAGGAACAAAAAGCAGTTTGTGTGAGGAAAGGCTTGTTGGCTCTGTGACAGCGTCCCCTCTCCTTCTCCCTCTTACTCTAGCTGAATAGATGGGTTTGTTTGTTGTCAGTGCTAGAACTAAAGGAAAACAAAGTGACTTGATTCCCCTCTGTGTTTATTGGAAGACAGTTCGTCGTGCATAAGTGTCTATTGAGTTCTCGTCCCCAGACAGCTTTATCCTGAATACCAATTTGGTTCCTCTCTTTTTTTCTCCGTTTGTCATTCGCACTTTCTCCTCAGTTTGTCAGTTACATCAAATTTAAATGAACTGGATGTTCAAATTAGAACCTCTTAGCATTATTACATAACACATACATAATACCAATCTTCTGCTATATACCATGTACTTTCAATGCTAATACATTTTCTGCTATAGTACTAATAACTGCTATTACTTTTGCTACCACAATAGTGACAATTTTACACTGTCTGCATGCCTAATTAGAATTAGAAGGCCTTTATTGTCTTTGAAAAAAAAACTTACAACAAAATTAAGATCAGCATTATCACTGCAAAAGTGAGTATGTGACAAAACACATCACCTAAACACGCACACACTCAGTCACACTGGAGAATTAAATATGTGCGTGATACATGATACCTTTCTTTGTCTCTATTTCTGTCACATTTTAATCCAGATTATATATCTGACCCATTAATCTCTTAGCTGTTAGTTGCTTCTTCCTATCTATCTAGCTATCTAGCTATCTAGCTCTCTATCTATCTATCTATCTATCTATCTATCTATCTATCTATCTATCTATCTATCTATCTATCTATCTATCTATCTATCTATCTATCTATCTATCT